TCTCTACTTCAATATTACTTATATTAAACTTCTGCCACCTGCTTTCCTTGCTTTCCACCAAACTCCATCTAGGCTACCTCACTGACATGGCAAAACTGGAATAACGAGATGCCTATAGAAATTGCTCATCCAGTCTTCCCAAGACCCGTATCATCTCTCTCAACCCATCCCAGAGATTGTGAAAAATAAATCTCCCTTGCTTCCTTGTCAAAGTGCATCACACCCCTCTGTGAATCATTCCAGGGCAGCACTGTGCAACTCCAGATGCTTCCCTTCAACATTTTCTTCACCCAGAGCCATGATGTTAGGTTCAGATTGCCTTTGATTTTGCTGTGCGTGGCTTTGTAAGGAATCCCATCCAACTTGCAACATATGCAGCTACCCACCATGTATATGGATGGCTTCAAACCATCCACTGAGACCTAAAGGTAACAGAATTTGCCTAGTGCTTCATGACATGGACCTCATCTTACAGCAGCTTTCCTCCCATTCCAGATTTCGTAAAACACCTCTGCAGGTCATCACACAGCTCTGTGGCAAGAATGGCAATAGCTTATGGGGAAGGTGGTACTGGGGGGTGGATTAAGTTTATGTAGCTATCATTTGAAATGCTTTAACAGTCTCAGTCCTTTATTTTGTGGAGGCTCTAACACCATGCGGCCAGCTGGTTTTGTCAGATTTTGAAGGTCAGTTTTGAAGCCCATTAGATCATCTAGCCTGCAGTTTCTCAAAATGGAGGCTGGACTGTATGGGGAATGCAAGAGGGGTTAAGGGACTGGTTTCCAGGTACTAGGAAAAAAAGCAGTGTTAGCAGCTCAGCTCCATTTCTTCTGGGTTAGGGTGTGAAAAAAAAGTCTCAGTAATTCCTGGCTGTGAGCATTGCTGCCAGGAGGTGGTAGCAGCTCAGGTCTGTAGGATGGGAGGGAGTGGGACTTAAGAGGGGGTGACTGGGACTCAGAGGGGGTGACTGGGACTCAGAGGGGGTGACTGGGACTCTTACAGCTGTTTCTTACACATCTGCCTTCAGCTTGAACTTTCAAAAAGAGCCCACTCTCTCTTCCCCTTTGAAATTTGCAGAGGAGTGACCATCCCCGCGTTGCTCTTTGGGAACGCTTTTCTCTTGGTATCTATCTTGCTGTGACTTTCAAAGAGGAATAGAAGCTTTCTGAGGAAGATTTGAAGAAGGTGGTAAAGGGTGGAAAAAAAAATGTTCACCTGGCAAGGGCAAAGAAACCGGGGGAGGGCAGGTAGGGAAATGGTGCTGATTTGAAGCTGATGTTTGAGCTATGATGGAGTTTCAGTGAACCACACCACAAGGGCTGCTGACTCATAAAAAAGTGGAATACCCAAAAGGAAAGCAATGATCCCGGAGCAATTGCATCCATTATGGTATGTCAGACATGTCTTTGATTGCAGAAGCCTATAATTAGTTACAGAGAATTGCGCTGTCTCTGAAGAAAGAAGAGGAAACAAAAATAATTATTCCCTGTGTTAGTGCCTAGCTGGATCAGCGGATAATGCTCAGGGCTTGCTTTAAATCAAATGTATTCACTGTTGATGATAGATTTATATTTATTTTTGCAATTTCAGAGTAAATGCCAATGATTCAGTGAAATTTTAACAAATCTTAAGAGACCCCACAGTGAAGATCTGAAAATCTAGGGATTAATTTTAGGGCTTGGTTTCTATCCACTTTTCATGTAAGAAACCTGCTTAAGGATCTTACATTTTGAAAATTATTTTGAAAGTTAAGATCTCTTGGTTTTGCAGTAGGAAAGAAAGAAAGGAAACAACTGTGGTTAATATGAACCGAAAATCGTAGTAACAGCTGCATTACATTCTTGCTAACACTAGATGGGGTGTAAGGAAAGAGT